TGGAAGGTTTCGCGCGCGCGCACGTGTGTGTGTATGTGTGTGTGACAGACAGACAGACAGGGTTTCACTAGAGAGAGAGACAGACAGAGGGTTTCACTCTGTCACCCAGGCTGGAGTAGGCTGGAGTGCAGTGGCATGATCATGACTCACTTGTAGTCTCTAACTCCTGGGCTCAGGCAAGCCTCCCACCTCAGCCTCCAAAGTGGTAGGATTACCTTGCTTGCCACTGTGCCCAGCCAGAAGGATTTCTTTTCCACCATTTCTATGTTTCATCCCCAAGCAGTGATAATCAGCAAAAAGAGGAGGGTGAAAGTCAATGTTTTCACTATTCACTAATTTTCCCTTTGTCTACTCATATAAGGCTCACGACGTTCAAGATTTGACCTCCTTCACTGAAATATCTACATAGTTACAAAACAAACACAAGACCACCAAATTTCTTTCTAGTCATCATCTTCCTAGGAAACAATTAGAAACATTTTCCTCAGCATAACCTCTCTGGTATCTTTATCACAAGATACTTTTTATTTTTCCAGATCAACTTCCAGCTTTTATTTATTGACTTATTGATTTATTTTTATTGACTTTTATTTTGGGTTTGGGGTACATGTGAAGGTTTGTTACACAGGCAAATTCCTGTTAAGGAGGCCTGTTGTACAGCTTAATGCATCACCCATGCATCAAGCCCAGCATCTAACAGTTATCTTTTCACACCTGGTAATTCTCACTTCACTCACTTTTGCCACTCCTGCAAAAAGCAGTTCCTTAGAACTCACACAGTTCTTTTCTCAGGAGTCTGCAAAACATTACAGAAGGAATGTTTTACCTTTTCTTTTTTTTTTTTGAGACAGAGTCTTGCTCTGTCGCCAGGTGCCAGGCTGGAGTGCGGTGGCACAACCTCGGCTCACTGCAATCTCCGCCTCCTGGGTTCCAGCAATTCTCCTGCCTCAGCCTCTTGAGTAGCTGGGACCACAGGCACACTGTTTTACCTTTTTAAAATTAATCCTTATTATCACTCCTATAAATAGATAAACAGACATCAACTCCGCTGGGCCAGCAGGTGGAGAGAGTGATCCAACCCCTGATGATTCTTTCTTCTATGACATTAGTCTTACCAGGTGAGAAGTGGGTATTAACATTGCTTACTTCAGAGTAAACAAAATTTTGGGAAGATCAATTAGAAAGTGGGAAGGAAAATACTATTTCTTTGCTGACGACTACAAGGTTTTGGCTGGACGCAGTGGCTCATACCAGTAATCCCAGCACTTTGGGAGGCCGAGGCGGGAAGAGCACCTGAGGTCAGGAGTTTGAGACTTTGGGAGGCCGAGGCAGGTAGATCACCTGAGGTCAGGAGTTTGAGACCATCCTGGCCAACATGGTGAAATCCCGTCTCTACTAAAAATACAAAAATTAGCTGGGTGTGGTGGTGTGCGGCTGTAATCCCAGCTACTCGGGAGGCTGAGGAATGAGATTTGCTTGAACCTGGGAGGTGGAGGTTGCAGCGAGCCAAGATCATTCCACAGCACTCCAGCTTGGGTGACACAGCAAGACTCTGCCTCAAAAAAAATAAAAAAACCAAGATTTTTTGCTAGCTCTTCTTGGCTCTAACCCTACTTAGAAGAACCCTCAGTTCTTCTATACGTTTAAATAGTTACGTATTTTTACCCATTCTGTGGTGTTCTTTTTTTCATATCAACTAAGAACCTATAAACTGCCAAAATCTGGATGATCACAATTCACTGTAATAGCCAACAAGGGACATACCAACTGACTGGGATTAAGGATTTTGTAATTAAGGAGCGAAATGCCGGCACTTCCTTGCCAAAGGAACCGAGTACAGGCACAGACTCTCAGCAGCAAAATCGGTAGTAAGGCACAAGCAAACAAGACCTATTTGGGCAAAAAGGAAAAGTGGGTGGCAGCACAATGTGGTGGTGAAGAACCCGAGCCTGGATTCAGGATGCTCGGGTCTGAATGCAGTTCTGTGACTTTGACCCTCTTGTCCGTCCCCCCTCCCCTCCACTTCCTCATAGGACGCTACGGGGAGGACTAAAGGAGCTGACGTTGCACAGCGCTGACCCCGTATCCGGCGCACAACGCTCCATGAGTATTTGTAGCTATTTTTATACACTCGGTAAATTTTATTCCTCCTAGCAGGTAGAGGATTTCGATCTGAGGCAAGGTTGAGGTGTTAGAAGTCCAGAAAGAGAGGCATTAGTAAAAGCAGTACACAATCTGATACAGTTGTTAGAGAAAGTCACAACTAAATAAGCCAAGGAGAGAGACTTTCTCCAACAGATCATTTACAGTAAAACAGCTAACAAGCACTTTTGCCCTGTGGAAACTGATTCCTGGGAGGGATGCCTGCTTTACTACTATTATCATGCAATAGGATTTTATCTACACGAAAAAGATACTTTCACCTCTGGGAAATTTACTTGAGAAATAGTGATAAAATGTTCAACATAATACAAATATCAACCTTCCTGAATCAATATTCAACCTTGTATCAACATTCTTCTGTCTTTGTATATTCTCTGATGATTCTTCTGAACACCATCAAATTGAATGAAGTGTAATGTACCTAATTCTACTGCAGTCTCTATTTATAGCCTGGAGGTATTTTTGAACAGTGCTGGGTACAAACACCAACTCAGTCCAGAGGAAACTTCAATTTAAGAGCAAAATTGTAAGACAATGAGTCAGAAGACTAGAAGGAAGGTGTTATGATATTCCTTTGCCCAAAGTCACCTACAAACCCAAGTAGTGTTTTTCACTCGGTTTCCAGGGGTAAACATTCTGCAATATCCGGAACTATGTTTCAGCTTCTGCAGTCATTTTAAAAGCTCTTTAAACAAATGGGGTCTGGTTTCACTGAGGTCCAGGAAGTGCTTAGAGAAATTTAAGTCTAGACATGAAAGCAGAATCACAGCTATACCAGACAGTATGACCTTGGATGCTCTTTGATGGATTGCCCAGACTGAATTTGATGGGGGTGAACAGGGGGTTGGGGGGTGGGGAGAAGGGAACACATACATACACACACCAAGTCCCAGCCCCTCTCCCACTCCTAAATAGCAGCAATCCATGCAACTGTACTTAAGAAAACATGCCTGAGGGAGTACAAGTTGTCACATCTGGTAGTTCACAATCACATTCTTGCAATAGATAAATAAAGGGTCTCTCATTTTAGATCTAAAGGTGGATAAACTTGATGACTGATCTTTAATCTGTTTTCATGCTTCTGAATAATAATTATACGTAAGTTTTCCTCCAAACTTGCCAGGTAACAACTACGAAAGTTCTCAGGCCAGGCATGGTGGCTCGCACCTATAATCCAGGCAATTTGGGAGGCTGAGGAGGATGGAACACCTGAGGCCAGGAGTTCAAGACCAGC